GGAACTCAGCACTGCCTCATTACCTCATGAGTTTGCTTTCTTCTTCAACAAAACATTAATGTCATCCTTTTTTTTGTTTTTCAAATTTAGACATTATTAGAGTTCCCTCATCTTTTTTACCAACAAATCTAGAAACTCTCTCTTGACCTGTATGCAATTAGACAAAGTGGAAGAAGTGTCTCTCTTCTTACAAAGGCCTATCCCTCAATCTCTCCCCTTGGGCTCTGCATCCCATCCTCTCTTTCCTCAAGGACTTCATTGCTTTGTGATTGCTTCTTTTTCTTGATCATCAGACTCTCTGCTGAACTCTATCATTTCAATTAGTATTCAAACATGTTCTAATATTGCTCATTTAAAAACAAAACCCACTAATGGTGGTGAAATAATTTGGAAAAGGATAGTGGTGATGGTTGTACAACATGATGAATGTCATCAATGTCACTTAATTGTACATGTAAAAATTGCTGAACTGACAAACATGTTTTGTTATATATATTTTTTACCAAAATAAATAAATTTTTAAAAAATACCATGATCCTTCCAGTTAACTCTCACTTCTGAATTACTGAATTCTGTTGTCCAATCCTCAATGAAAACACTAGATACTGAAAACTTGGAACACTGGCTACTCTAAATTTATCCTCTGATCAAGTTGCAGCATAGACGGCACTAAGCTGGGCTCTAATAGAATTACATTTACTACATTGAGTTGTGCCATTGTTCTTTTAAAAAGCTCTATGAAATTTTTTACTAAAAATGATAAGTATATAAATATAGACAGTAATGAAGTTGTCTTTGTGAATATTCACAAAAGAACTTTCTTCCTGGACTCTGCACCAGGAAAAACTATTCACCTCCTAAACAAATGATTTGATTTGATATTTTTAACATTCTGAAAAATGGAACTAAAATGTTTTCTTTTTTTCTTTTTAAGGCCACTAGCACCTTAGCAATTATACAGTCTCCATTTCTGTGTTAATATTATTCTTACCTTTATTAATTTGCTGCACTTATTTTCTGTTTCCTTCAACTATTTCTCCTTTCATATTTTGGTTAGTTTTATAAACCATTTTAAATCCTCTGAGGAACAAGTGGAACAAGACAAAGCACAAATAGATATGGACAGAGATAAAGACAAAAAATGGAACCAGAGAGACAAAGAAAAGTATAGACTGTTGGGAGAGAAGGAAGTGGGGAGAGATAGGTGTCAGTGTTGTGTGAGGTAATAAATTACCATGACAATGTGGATCTTAAAAGGGGGTATGGGAAGAACACTTACATATTTAGGCATCATCATATTTTTTCTGAAATCCTACCAATCACTCAAAATAAATAGCTTCTATATAGAAATAATTTATAATACTAATATAAAAATATTTAATCTCATAAAACTTGACCTGTTTTATCATTTTCAATTAGGACGGTGATAAAAATTTTCAGGGAAAACTATTTTTCTTAGATATATTTATCTGAGATGTTTCCTTTTTTTTCAGACTTCACATAATAAATTATAATTACATTGAAGCACTACTCCACTGTCCGAAAATTAAAAGCTATTCGCTCCCCCGAGAATGTGATTTGAAATCTGAGACAATAAGCTGTATTCACTCTCCTATTGCCTGCTTTGACTGGTCTTTACTGAATCAAGAAATCGGATTAAAATTACCATACGGCACATTTGAAGCCTTGGTTGAATATCAAGGAGGTTTTAAAAAGACGTGAATATGTACAGCCCACAGAAAATAATATACAAGAACCAAGAGCAACTCTATGTGACTAATTAAGTATTTGATTGTTTACTACGGAAGAAATACTGGGTTCTTTCCATAGGTAGAGTTTTTCTGTCAATCCAAATTTCTAGAGTTAAGCTTATATGCCCTTCACAAAAAAAAAAAAGCCAAAGACAGGCTGAGTACAAATTACATCATTCCTTTCTACTCTGATAGAGTAATAGGGAAACCAACATCTGCCTCGTACCCAGAAAAGTGCTCTGTCCCCAGATCTTCCTGCCTTCACTGCCAAGGGCATTTCCTAGGTAGAAGTCTCTGTGTCACTATAGTCAAAAAACCTAAGGGAAGTGTGATGGTTATTCTTCAGGTTTTAGTTAGCATGGATCATTTGTTTCCTTATTTAAAAGGTCCTGCACTATTCCATTAGTTAGTCTGTCCACCCACTCTGAATTGACTCGACAGCAATGTTTTTTTTTTCGGGCTACCCACACTATGGCTGTGACAAGACACTGCAGTATATTCAGATTAATACAAATAAATCAGTTATATACGTAGATACTTGGTGAAACTTAGATATAGGTAATCATGGGTAATATCAGTGCTCTAAGAGTTACTTTATCTAAAAATAAATATAATTTATTAGGATATACTGTTGTTGTTAGCTGCTGTCAAATTGGCTCCGACTCATACTGACCCTATGTACAACAGAACGAAACACTGCCCCATCCTGCGCCATCCTCACAATTATTGCTATGTTTGAGCCCATCGTTGCAGCCACTGTGTCAGTCCATCTTGTTGAGGGTCTTCTTCTCTTTCACTGATCCTCTACTTTACCTAGCATGATGTCCTTCTCCAGGAACTGGTCCCTCCTGATAACATGTCCAAAGTAAGTGAGACAAAGTCTCACCATCCTCGCTTCAAAGGAGCATTCTGGCTGTACTTCTTCCAAGACAGATTTGTTCATTCTTCTGGCAATCCATGGTATATTCAATATTCTTCGCCAACACTGTAATTCAAAGGCATCAATTCTTCTTCAGTCTTCCTTATTCATTGTCCAGTTTTCGCATGCATTTGAAGCAAATGAAAACACCATGGCTTGGGTCAGGTGCACCTTAGTCCTCAAAATGACATCCTTGCTTTTTAACACTTTATCGTTACATCTCCATCTGCACAAATAATAACATTTTGCCTTTCTTTTCAATGGTCTCAGTTGCAGATTCATTAAATCATATCATCAAGTGAAGTCAAAAGATGTGTACAACTTCCCAAAGAAATGTGGTATTTTTTCAGTATAACTAAAGAGAATAGTTTAACTAAGACAAATGCACCAGAATGGTTCCATCACCCTTTGAAGATTGAAGTTAATCAAAATAAAATGGTGCCAGGTAACATCTAGCTCAACTGGCATAACATGCTTTAAAAAGAAAATGTTCTACATTCTACCTTGGTGAGTAGCGTCTGGGGTCTTAACAGCCTGTGAGCAGCCATCTAAGATACTCCACTGGTCTCACTCCTTCAGCAACAAGGGAGAATGAAGAAAACAAGACACAATGGTAAGATTAGTCCAAAGGACTAATGGACCACAACTACCACGGCCTCCACCAGACTGAGTCCAGTACAACTAAATGGTGCCCGGCTACCACCACTGACTGCTCTGACTGGGATCACAACAGAGGGTCCTGGACAGAGCTGGAGAAAAATGTAGAACAAAATTCTAACTCACAAAAAAAGATCAGACTTACTGGCCTGACAGAGACTGGAGAAACCCTGAGAGTATGGTCCCCAGACACCCTTTTGGCTCAGTAATGAAGTCACTCCCGAGGTTCAACATTCAGCCAAAGATTAGACAGCCCCATAAAACAAAATGCGACTAATGGTGCACAACAGTCCAGGGACAAGAACTAGAAGGCAGGAGGGGACAGGAAAGCCAGAAATAGGGAACCCAAGGTTGAGAAGGGAGAGTGTTGACATGTTGTGGGGTTGTTAACCATTGTCATAAAACAAGATGTGTACTAACCATTTAATGACAAACTATTTGTTCTATAAACCGTCATCTAAAGTACAATTAAAAAGATTAAAAATAAAATGGTGCCCATGTAAAGACAGAAGTCATGACCAACTGCAAAGATCATGAAAAGCACAAAATTCTCTCATTTTTCTCAGAATTATCTTTGATTCAAGTGTCTTATTCTAGAATCTTTAGTTGTGTTCAAATATGTTTCACCAGTGACCAATCTACATATTCCAGAAGTCACTATGATCTTAGCCAGAGAAACATCATTTACAGTTTTGAGAAATAAGGGATGTGTGTAACATCTATATTTTTAAAAGAAAACAGCCTTATTTTACTATTTTCTCTGATTATAAAAGTAATAACCAACTAAAACTGCAAGTACATGAAGTAGAAAGTAAAAGATCATTGCAAAAACTGCAAAGATTTTTAAAAAATTGAAATGTACTCAGCCGAACTTTTTTCAACATATGCATGCACACACGCTTTTTTCCCCAGTACCCTTATTATTATTGTTGTTGCATGCTTGCAAGTCAATTTCGACTCATAGTGACCCTACACAACAGAGTAGAACTGCCCCATAGGGTTTCCTAGGCTGTAACCTTTACGGGAGCAGATAGCCAGGTCTTTTATCTCATAAAGCAGTTGGTGGGTTCGATCTGCTAACCTTTCGGTTAGCAGCCAAACACTTTAACCACTGCGCCATTTGTTAAAGACTTCCTTTCTTAATATTAGTTTATTTCAGTGAAGATGTATATAATTCATTGAGCTTAGCAGTTTCAGTATACTACATACATTAGAAATCAGTTTCACTTTGAATAGTTTTACCTGCTATGCTCATATAAATTCAAGTCAACAAAGCATAATTAAATATGGAATTCAAATTTGACTACATAATTACTACTTCCCTACCTACTGAGATTAGTCTTAGCAAAAGCCATTCACTTTCATCTTTGGCAATGACTAAAGGGAGAATACAAGAATGTATTTACAAAATAAATAAATAAATAAATCTCAATTTCTAGTTAACCATAAAACCTAGTTCACCATACACCTATCTCAAAAATATTTTTTCAATTCTATAAATCCTCTCAAACTCTATTCATTTCCAAACCAAAGGTACATATCTTCAACAAAACAGGATCTAACCTTCATAATTTTTATGCCCTATATACTTAATACCATTGATGTAATGATGCTTTGCAATGTTTAGTCCTCAGTAGAAAATGTCAAAACAACAATATCATGGTTTTACTTACGAGAGGTTTTGGAAGCAAGAAGAGTAACTCGGGAGCCTCCGAAGAAGTGAAAACCCATAACAAACACCTGATCATCATCTGACTGATTGGCAAAGGCTACAAAGAAAAAAAAAAAGAATCATTTTATATAAACACAAGGCAGATTAATAGTAAACATCTGAAATAGGAAGCTTAGTTGAATGACAAGTTTTTTGTTGTTGTTGTTTTTATGTCACTAGTCATGATTAAGAAACCCTCGTGGTGTAGTAGTTAAGAGCTACAGCTCCTAACCAAAAGATCAGCAGTTCGAATCCACTAGGCAGTCTTAGAAACCCTATGGGGCAGTTCTACTCTGTCCCATACAGTTGCTATGAGTCGGAATTGACTCGACGGCAATGGATTTCTTTTTTGTTTAGTCATGATTAAGCCCATGTATGAATGATGATACGTTAACATGACTTCCTTCGTAGCTTCCAATTGCTAAAATTTTTAAATTACAATATAGCTCTGGAATCATTTAATTTTCTTTCTTCTAATATCAGACCTGCCTGACTCCAGATATGAGGCAGGAAATATACAAGATGAATCTAGAATAGCAGATAAGAAGGAAGCTATCAATGACTATTAGGGTTATAAGAAAAGGACTTGACCTGGAAGCTCCATAGACACATCCAAACCCTGCAGGACCAAATTGCTGGGCTGAGGGCTATGGGGACCATGGTCTCGGGGAACATCTAGCTCAACTGGCATAACACAGTTTATAAAGAAAGTGTTCTACATTCTACTTTGGTGAGTAGTGTCTGAGGTCTTAAAAGCCTGTGAGTGGCCATCTAAGATCGTCCACTGGTCTCACCCCTTTGGGAGCAAGGGAGAATGAAGAAAACTAAAGATGAAAGGGAAAGATTAGTCCAAAGGACTAATGGACCACAACTACCATGGCCTCCACCAGACTGAGTCCAGTACAACTAAATGGCACCCAGCTACCACCACTGACTGCTCTGACAGGAATCACAATAGAGGGTCCCAGACAGAGCAGGAGAAAAATGTAGAACAAAATTCTAACTTAGAAAAAAAAAAAAGACCAGACTTACTGGCCTGACAGAGACTGGAGAAACCCAAGAGTATGGCCCCTAGACACCCTTTTAGCCCAGTAAGGAAGTCACTCCAGAGGTTCACCTTTTAGCCAAAGATTAGACAGACCCATAGGACAAAACGAGACTAAAGGGGCACACCAGCCCAGGGGCAAGGACTAAAAGGCAGGAGGGTCAGGAAAGCTGGTAATAGGAAACCCAAGGTTGAGAAGGGAGAGTACTGACATGTCATGGAGTTGTTAACCAATGCCATAAAACAATATATGTATTAACTGTTTAATGACAAGCTAGTTTGTTCTGTAAACTCATCTAAAGTTCAATCAAAAAAAAAAGAAATTCACCAAGGCATATCATAAACAAACTTTTCAGAACCAAATACAAAGACAGAATTTTGAGAGCAACACAAGAAAAGCAAAATATCACCTACAAAGGGACCTCAACGAGATTAAGTGGTGATTTCACATCAGAAGCCATGCAATCAAGAAGGCAATGGGATGACATACACAAAGCCCTGAAAGAAAAGAATTGCCATCCAAGAATCATATACCCAGCAAAACTATCTTTCAAAAATGAATGAAAAATGAGAACATTCCTAGATAAGCAAAAATTGAAATGAATTTGTAACCACCAGACCAGCACTACAATAAATATTAAAGGGAGTCCTGTGGATAGAGGGAGCCCTGGTGGCGCAGTGGTTAAGAAGTACTGCTGCTAACCAAAAGGCCAGCAGTTCGAATCCACCAGCCGCTCCTTGGAAACCCCATGAGGCAGTTCTACTCTGTCGTATAGGATCACTATGAGTCAAAATCGACTCAACGGCAATGGGTTTGGGATTTTCCCCCCCCCCCCCCGGGTTTGGATAGAAAACCAACATCATCAGACTACAACCTGAGATAAAGATACTAGACAGCATCACCCAGATACCAAGCCAGGTAAAGACTTCAAAAAAAGTAAAAGAAAGCTACAAAATAGATTAAAGGGAATCAGAGACATAAAAAAATAAACGACAAAACTTCAAAACAAAAGGGGGAATGAACGGAGTAGTTATAAAACTTCCATAGAGAGAAGTCAAGGAGATCTCAAGATATAACAGATTGTTTGAATTTAGGATGATAAATATAAATTTCAAGGTAACCACAAATAAGAGTAAAAATTTACCCACCAAAACAGAGAAAAACAAAAATAAATAAAAGGAAAAACAGAATCAAGAACCCAGATGTAAATCCATCCCCCTACGGTCACCTAATCTTCGACAAAGGCCCAAAGTCCATTAAATGGTGAAAAGACAGCCTTTTTAACAAATGATGCTGGCAAAACCGGATGTCACTCTGTAAAAAAATTAAACAGGACCCATACCTTACACCATACACAAAAACTAATTCAAAATGGATCAAAGACCTAAATAAAAAACCAAAAACTATAAAGATCATAGAAGAAAAAATAGGGTCAACACTAGAGGACCTAATACATGGCATAAATAGCATACACACAAAAACTAACAATACACAAACACCAGAAGATAAGGTAGATTATTGGAATCATCTAAAAATTAAACTTTTATGCTTATCAAAAGACTTCACCAAAAGAGTACAAAGAGAACCTACAGACTGGGAGAAAAAAATTTGTCTGAGACAAATCTGACAAAGGTCTAATCTCTAAAATCTATAGGATAATCCAACACCTCTACAACAAAAAGACAAATAATCAAGTTAAAAAATAGGCAAAGGATATGAACAGACACTTCACCAAAGAAGACACATCCAAACTCCCTGAGAGACTGAATTACTAGGCTGAGGGCTTGGGACCATGGTCTCAGGGGACATCTAGCTCAATTTGCATAACACAGTTTATAAAGAAAATGTTCTACATCCTACTTTGGTGAGTAGCATCTGGGGTCTTAAAAGCTTGTGAGTGGCCATCTACCATACTTCACTGGTCCCACCCCATCTGGAGCAAGGGAAAATGAGGGAAACCAAAGACACAAGGGAAAGATTAGTCCAAAGAACTAACAGACCACAACTACCACGGCCTCCACCAGACTGAGTCCAGTACAACTAGATAGTGCCCAGCTACCGCCACTGACTGCTCTGACAGGGATCACAATAGAGGATCCTGAACAGAGCTGGAGAAAAATGTAGAACAAAATTCTAACTGAGAAAAAAAGACCAGACTTACTGATCTGACAGAGACTGGAGAAACCCGAAGAGTATGGTCCCCAGACACCCTTTTAATTCAGCACTGAAGTCACTCTTGAGGTTCACCATTCAGCCAAAGATTAGACAGGCCCAGAAAACAAAACGAGACTAAATGGGCACAACAGCTCAGGGGCAGGGATGAGAAGGCAGGAGAGGATAGGAAAGCTGGTAATCAGGAACCCAAGGTCAAGAGGGGGAGAGTGTTGACGTGTTGTGGGGTTGGCAACCAATGTCACCAAACAACAAGTGTATTAATTATTTAATAAGAAACTAATTAGCTCTGTAAACCTTCATCTAAAGAACACTAAAAAATAAAAAAAATAAGAGGAAAAGAAAATCCACGTACGAAAAGAACTCATCACAAAAAGTAAAGAAGAATAAAACAAACCATGAACACTACAAAAAAAAGTACAACAAAATGGCAGCAGTAAATCCATACCTACTGATAATCACACTGAATGTAAATGGATTAACTGCATCAGTCAAGAGGCAGAGAGTGGCAGAATGGATTAAAAAAAAAAACATGATCCATCAATATATTGTTTACAAGAGACTCTCCTCAGACACAAAGACAAACAGGTTAAAAATCAAAGGATGTAAAAAAATATAGTAAGCAAACAGTAACCAAAAGAGAGCAGAAGTAGCAATATTAATATCTGACAAAATGTCAAAATGCATTATATGAGACAAAGAAGGACACCATGTAATGACTAAAGGCTCAATTTACCAAGAAGACATAACAATTATAAATATTTATGTAGCCAATGCCAGAGCTCCAAATTTTATAAAATAAACTCTAACAGAATTGAAGAGAGAAATAGAAAGATCTACAACAATACTAGGAGATTTTAACACATCATTTCCAACAATGGACATAACAGCTAAAGAGAAAATCAACAAAGATACAGAAGACATAAACAATGCTATCAACCAACCAGACCTCACAGACATACATAGAACATACCACCCGACAGCATAAAAATACACATTCTTCTCCAACGCACATGGAACAATCTCCAGAATAGATCATATTTTAGGACTCAAAGCAAGCCTCAATAAATAAAGCAAGCCTTTAAAAACATTGAAATTATACAAACCATCTTCTCTGACCATAACATTATGAAACTAGAAATCAATTACACAAAGAACAAGGAAAAAAAATTAAATACATGGAAACTAAATAACACATTACTAAAAAAACTACTGAGTAGTAGAATAAATGAAAGGTGAACTTAAAAAAAATACTTAGAATTAAATGAGAATGAAAACACAACATACCCAAACCACTGGGACCCAGCAAAAGCTACACTCAGAGACAATGTACAGCAATGCATGCATACATTAAAAAAGAAGAAACTTTCAAAATAAATAACTTAGCCCAATAACTCAAACAAATAGAAAAGGAAGTGCAAAAGAAAACTAATGCTGCAAGAAGGAAATAATAAAATTCAGAACAGAAATAAATGAAATAGAGAACAGAAAAACATTAGAATCAACAAAACTAGAAGCTGGTTCTTTGAAAAGATCAATAAAATAGACAAACCACTGGTCAAAATGACCAAGAAAAAAATGACAGTATGCAAATAAGCAAAATAAGAAAGGAAGTTGAAGACATTACAACAGATCCAACTCAGATAAAGAGGATTATAAGAGAATACTATGAAAAACTATATTCTAACAAATTTGAAAACCTAGAATAAATGGACAATTTTCTACAAACACACTATCTACTTGTCTTAGGCTGGGTTTTCTACAGAAGCAAAACCAGTGAAGCATCCAGAGAAAAAGAGACATTTATATCAAGGAGAAAAAGCTCACAAGGTTGTAGAGG